TGGAATAAACCTCAAACCAATACTATTAAGAAAATGTTTAGATCCACCTTAAAGTTTTATTAAAGCTAATGATGCATTTTGTTCAACTTGTTGGTTTGAGTTAATGTGGACAAGTATTACAATTGTAATAATGATACTGACAGATGTAAAATGGACAGCGGGAGTCATTTTTGACTGATACATTTTAGGTCCTATATAATTTCTATGGGAATATAAAATTTGGGTCTTTATAGACACAGGGCAGGACACAGTTAGGTATATACAATGTGAATAAAAAATCCATAATTGTAATTAATTCTCTCATGTGTTGTTTGTATATTTGCTGTTTCGCAGCGAGTGGTAAATGATCTAATTTTTGCTGCCACTTAAGCATCAAATATTTCATTAAGCTACAGGTATCCTGTTATTTAGTGGTATTGTGTTGTGCGTTTAATGTGCTGTTTTGTTTCTTCCATGTGTAAATAGGTAGCATTATAATTATATCAGCAACAGCTGTTGTTCTGTGAATATATACTTGAGAAAAATCACATGTTCACCCAGTTAGTTTCCTCTGGCAGCTTTCAGAGCATAAAGAGAACCATTAAATGTTCAGAAGCACCATCGGCTACAACTCAGATCATTGTGTTTCACAAATTTCCAATTTGTGGTGAACTAATTGGAACAGATAGCAGCAAGAAGACCTAACTAAGCATTTGAAAGTCTTTACGCTTACTTAATAGCATGTTATTCAACCTTCCAACTCCTTGCTGGTGTCTCCTAAATGAAACCTAAGCCAGAGTGAGAAACGTGTGTGTAAGGCATGAGGGTGGGTGTGCCATAATGGGAGCAAAACTGGTCAGTTACTGGAGCAAATTACAGGGAAAAATAACTTAGACAAACAGGCATTGACACAGGCATGTCAACATAAAGCTTCCAAGTTTCCAGTACAGTACATAACTAGTACAGAGCTTTTTATGTAAATGCAATTGAGTGTGTACTGTGAGAACATTCAGCACTATGGAGATATAGTTCACCCCCACAGCTCTGCTAGGAATCAGTGTGAGCAGCTCTGCAGCAGGAGACTGTGTTCCTCTAAGCAGAAAATCTACAGCAAATCCAGCTGCATTAAAAACTGATAGCCAAGTGTTTTGATTATTTTTGAAGGACTATATTTACTGGCAGTCTAATACAAGCACAAAACCTTCTTTTAGCTTTAAAAGACTACTGTTGGGATTTTCTAAACATTTATTTTTTACTGTACTGCACATGTACTTGCAGAAGTGCAACTTTCAGAGGCACAAAATGTTGGGAGGAGAGTATTTGAATGAATCACATACAAATTATTTAAGGTTTGAAGCGAGCGATTTATTGGCAACTGTATCAAATTTAACTCTGAAAATTGTCTTATTTTGTGTATGATGAGACGGTGTGATAATTTCTGCTAGAAGTGTCAACTTATCTGGATTGCCAGAGGGAGATGTTATCAGAACAAGTGTATGATTGGCATCAGCGGATTGCTCAAGCTGTGAGCACACCAAAACTCTAGGCTCTTCAGTGAGTTCTCCACTATTTAGAGCTCAGCCCTGCATGTTTCTGGTCCTCAGTAACGCTGATATGTTTATGAAACAGAGCAGAACTTAACTTCATGTGAAGCATCAGAGGGAGAGGGAGAATCCCAATACAAGATCCACGCAGAGCTGTGTGATGTTTTGGGTAACACACACAGCCATGTTACTTTTTAAAGTAGTGAATCGGTTTGTAGTGTTTTAGGCTTTTAGTCACAGAGATCCGCCATGGAGTGGTTTCTTTGTGTATTTTGATTTTTCTTCCTCTTATTTCTGATTATTTTAAAGCTCTCTATCGTGCTACTTGTGGACCAGATCAGAAGTGTGCTGGATTTAAGTCAAAATCTAACAATATGTAAAATTAACTTTAATTAAATACCTGCAGCCTTGCATTTGATAAAAATACCAGTGTGCACACCTGTGCATGTAGCAAAGCAGCAGTAACTTTATTAACACATGTACAGCTCAGGATCTGAGGATGAATGAAGTTTTGTGTTGTTGTTGTTGTTGTTTTGTTTTTTTTTTTACAAATCCTACAGGACAGCTGTATACCGACAGTTTTCAGTTTTATGCAGTGAGATAGTTTGTTGAAAGCAGCGCTCTTCTGGATTAATCGTGCATTCCAACTGAGCTGTCAGATTTATCCAGCGATCACACACACTTATCCGTACAGAGTCCTCAGCTATTCCTAACAGAAGACTTTGCCTTTATATCAAAACATATCCATTCTCCTTCAGCTGTGTTTCCTTAATCTGAACTGCCATGTTGTTTTTCTGGAGAAAACCTATATTATAATGTATTATTTTGGTAACCAGATTGCCCTCATCCTTGTTATTTATTATTGAAATGAACTGCCTTTGTCTTTGCTTATTAATCTGGGCCCATGTATGTAAAAGGTCTAGGTAAAGAGTTGGATAGTGTAGGTATTTTTTTAATCCATTGCACTTTATCAATGGTGCATTAGCATTTGTGCGTATTAGTGTGATTGCTGAGGTTTCTTTCTAATATTGTAGCATCTTTTTCTGCCTTGAGGCGACTGTTGTTGTGAATTGGCGCTATATAAATAACATTGAATTGAACTGAACTGGATCAGTAAAGATGAATGGATCTGACAAAATCAGGTGTGCTCCAATGAGTCAGCAATGAGAGCACAGAGATAAATGTAGTCAATCCAACTTCTATCTAATGTGCTGCTATGTAGCGCTGATTAGAGCTGTTGTCAGATAAAACTTATTGTTTCCTATTCCCTTTCAATGACTGAACAATTCATTTGTAAAACAATTGTTTTCCTCAGGGGAGGAGATTTTAGAAATGTCGCACTGCAGAAATAAGACTTCAACAACGGCTACAAGTCTGTGATTTATCCCTCTTATGGGTAACTTCTACTACATTTGCTCTCCCAATGGGAGGAGGAAGAGCTGGGTTCAAATCTAGTCTGCTGCAGGAATCTGACTAAACACTGCGCGCTTCACTGATTCAGTAATGTGAAAGCACTGAGAGGGTTTCTGGTCTAGGGAAAAACACACACACACACACACACACACACAAATGAATGCCATTTGCAAAGGGAAAAAAAGCTTAAATTGCTATCAGCACTTGTCCTTGACTCGGTAAGGGTAAATGGAATATTTTGTGGTATTAAATTAAGGAGAACTTCAGAGTCAATGCAGATTGGCAAAATGATAAATCTATGGTGTATTGCACTTGCTGATGAGCCAAATCCAAAGGAAACAGCATTCCATTACACAATGGAGTAAGTACAATTGGTATGAACTTCACTTCACTCAAGAATATCTTTCCATTGTGAAGAGAAACACATATTTTTGTGCCTTATAAGTTGCCTAAAACATAAATAAAGTGCTAAATATATAAATCAAGAGGTGTAAAGATCAATCTGTACAAAGCTACACAACATACGTACATAGCAAATCTCTTGTGTACTTCCTATTCTTGCTTTCTCTCACCTCTTCTTAATCTAACATATCAAAGACTAAAATATATTTGCATTGCACTTATTTCCCCTCATTATCACCTAAGCCAAACCTGGAGCTGTTTCGTCTACCATCCCCTACTTACAGTGGGGCAAAAAA